CTATATCATCTGCCCTCGCCTGCAACTTTATCATCTCCTCTCCTACTACCATTTTCCTTGTTCACTCTGCTCCAGATGTTCTGTTCCTCGAACATTTCAGACACATGCCTGCAGTAAGGCCTGTAGACTTGCTGCTCCTTCTGCTTCCATGCTCCCCAGGGTTCACTCTTTGCTTCCCCTGGGTCTTCACTCAAATATCAGCTTCCCAGTGAGGTTTTCTCTGATCTCTTTACCTGAAAGTGCAATCTCTCCCTGGCATTTTGCATCCCTTCCCTGATTTTATTTTTATCTTTAACATTTATGACTAATATGCTACACATTTTATCTTATTTGCTGTCATTTTTTTCTCTTCTGGAAATTAAGCTCATTAATGTCAAAGACCTTTGTTTTGGTTGCTTCTATGCCCCAATATGTAGAACATTTCTCATAATTATCTTATGCATGCATGAATGTGGCTATTACATTGCCCATAGTGTTGAGCATTTGGAATGCTTTGCTTTTCTTTCCTTTTATCTTTGGTTATCAAATATATCACTGCAATGAATAACGAATAACTTATCCAAAACTATATTGATCTCTCATCATTAGCCATAGTTATATCTTAGGAGTAGAATTTATTGAGCCAAAGGGGATGAATATTTACTTAAAAAAACTTCTGGGAGGAATGAGTTTTGATTGACAGATTTGACAGAAGAGTTGCAAAGAGGGTGCAGACAGTTCGTGTATTCCCTTCCCCCAGTTTCCCCTAATTTTGACATTCTACATAACCACGGTACACTTGTCAAAAATGAAGACACTGAAGGCAATGCTATTAACTAAACTCCAGACTTCATTGGGTTTCGCAGGTTTGTCTGTTAATGTGGTACTCTTTTCCAAAATCCAATGTAGGATACCACTCTGCATTTAGGAACAAATACTTTAAAAACCTTCATGCATATTCTTAAATTTTCCTCCAGAAATGTAGCTCCAGTCTATATGGCCAACAGCAGTGTATGAATGCTTCTCCCTTATCAATATTTGGTATTTTTCTCTTTAAAAATATCTTTTAAATTTGATGGGCAAAAATTGGTATCTGTTTTAGTTGCATTTTTGATGAATTTTAACATTTATTCATGTATTGGCCATTTGTATTTTCAAAATTTTGTGTATCTTTTACCTATTTTTATTTTATTTACTTTGTCAGTAGGCTCCATATTCAACATGGGGTTGAACTCTCTCGAGGGTCACATGCTCTACCCACTGAGCCCCCACCTATCTTTAAAACTGGGCTTTCTACTCACTGAATCATAAGCACTCTATTAAGAATATTAAATTTTTTTCAAGGCTGATATAATTATTTTTCATGATTTGCCAACTGTCATTTTGGAACACAGAAGTTCTCTGTTTTTATGTCATCAAATCTACTGTGCTTTTATTTTTGTGATTGAATCTGTTACTCTTTTACACTTAGAAAATTAGCTCCCATTCCCATATCAAAAGTTTCATAGATACATACAGTAGTATTTCTATTTTTTAGACCTAACTCTTGGGATTTTGGTATATGAGAAGAGGGAAAATGTGTTATTTTGATTTTCTAAATAATTAACCATTGGCCTAGCACTTGTTTTATGACCTTATTTCCTGTTCCTTCATGGTGTAATGCCACTTTTATACTAGAGGATATGGGTTTGCTATCTCTATTTTGTTTCATTGATTTGTCTGAATATTCTGGTATCAGTACAAAACTGTTTAGTGATTATTTTAGAGCTTTTTTTTTTTTTTTTTTTTTTTTTTGGACTACAGTGTGCGTGCACACATGTGCAGGAGGGGTAAAGGGAGAGGGAGAGAGAGAATTTTAAGCAGGCTTCATGCCCAGCATGGAGCCTGCTGCAGGGCTGGGCCTCAGGACGATGAGCTCATGGCCTTAGCCAAAATCAAGATTGAATGCTTAACTAACTGAGCTACCCAGGCGCCCCTCATTCTTTTAAAATATAGTATTGACCCAGAAATATGTCCTCCTATATATGGTCAAATGATTTTTGACAAGGGTACCAAAACCATTCAACAGGGAAAAGACAGTCTTTTCAACAAATGGCACTGGGGAAACGGTAGCCACGTGCAAAAGAATGAGGTTAGATCTTACCTTACACCACGTACAAAAATCAGCTTAAAATGGATGAAAGACCTAAGCACAAAAGATGAAACCATAAAATTTTTAGAAGATGGGGAAAGGCTTCATGACATTGGATTTGGCAATGATTTCTTGATGGGACATCAAAGGCACAGGCAATGAAAGAAAAAATAGACCAATTGGACTTCATCCAAATTAAAAACTTGCACATCAGATTGTAGAAGGGGAAGGGGAACAGATTGTAGAAGCTGAGGGTTTAAATAAACAGAATAACCATAGATAGTAGGGAGGGCTGTGGAGGGAATGAACTGGGTGATGAGATTAGGGAGCAGCCATGTAGGCTGCTATAATAAAAATACCAGACTGGCTGTCCTATAAACAACAGAAATATATTTCTTACATTTCTAGAGGTTGGAAGATTCAGGATCTGTTGAGAGCCCACTTCCCAGCTCACAGATGGCTGTCTTCACATTGCATTCTCACGTGGTGGCAGGGCAAGGGAGCTCTCTGGACCCTGTTTCATAAAGACACTAATCCCATTCATGAGGGCTCCACCATTGGGACCTAGTCACCTCCTAAACGTCCCACTCCAAACACCACTGCATTGGTGATGATATATGAATTTAGGGGGCACACACACATTTAGTCTATAGCAGGGAGTTTTTCAGAAGGGCCACTTTAGGTCACTCTGAGCTGTGACAGTAGGAGAGAGAATGGGCCATGGAAGAAGCTGGCAGGGGGCTCATCTGTAGGCAAAATTCATAGGTTGCGGTATTAAAAGAAACTCTTCCCTCAGAGCTGATAAGTGGAAGAGAGACAAGCACTCAACACTTTGCCACAAGGGGCTTGCGTAGATAGATCCATTCTCCCGCAAATAATGCTGGATTTGGGTGTGAGAAATCAGAGACATGAGCTGTGATACCGCCCTGAGAGTTACTGTGCTTTGAGCAGTCTCCAGCCACGCTTCTGTGTGGCCATCCCTCTCTCTTTGGAAGTCTGCTGCCTCTTCCATTTCCTAACCTGACATCTGGTTTAAAAAAATTTTTGTTTAGCAGTTAAAACAAGAAGAAGAAAAAAAAAAAAAACCCAGACATGATACTAATTTTAATTTCCATTAAAGTTAATTTCCATTAAAATTAAAAGTTTAATAAGAGCACCAAAAATTATGCTAAAAAAGAGGACTAAAAATTAGACATTAAGAAGATATATAAAACAAAATACCATTATTTTTACATTTCAAATAAATCATAAAGTACAAAATCATAAAATGTCAATATATACAAGGAAAGCATTAACAGTCCTTTCAGTGACTTACCATATAAAGAGGTATTTAAAGTGCTACAGTCTGAGGCATTATATTTAAAAGTTTAATGAGCATATGATTCCAACATAATCTCACAGAACAGTTTTGTTTTGTTTCAAATAAGCTACAAACTGGTTAGGAATGTTGAAAATGTATTTATCAACTAAGGAGTAATAAACTTGCTAATGTGACATTATTAGTGCAATTCAAAAGCATATAAAATTCCAGATCAGAGACAAATTGTCCTGTTCAAAGTGCGTTAACCATACATGCATCGTCTCATCAAAAATCTACACAACAACCACTCCATTTGCTCACAATTCTGGGGCATTTAGTTAATTAGTTTTTCTTTTTTAGTTGATAAAAATCCTCAAGGCACCTAGAGATTTGCCTGCCTTTCACCCATCTGTATTGAAAACGCAGAGTAGGCTCTCACGGGATCAAGTGGTGCAGTACAGAGAAATGGTTCAGAAAGAACCCTCTGGTCCTAGGGACTGGTAGGTTTGAAATGAACAAGGTTACTTTCTAGCTATGTACCTTAACTTCTCCGACTTTCAGCTCTATCACCTATAAAATAACATCTTCTTAACAGAGTTTCTTTAAGAATTATGTAAGCATGCCAGTAAAGCATGAAGTAAGTATGGGGCCAGCATGAGGAAAGGTTCCAAACGGTGGTTGTTCATATTCTTATCATGATTGCTTCTATATAAGGAGTACTATGGAAGAATCAAGGAAAGGGCTGGTCATTCTTTGGAGCATATCCTCAATGGGGGAACTACCTGGCATACTAGGCAGGATTATTCCTCATTGTACAGGTCTGCTCAGACATTTAGCATCCTGGCCACATGGCAAGGCCAATAGCACCCTCATCATTGTGACACCCAAACATGCACTTATACATTTCCAAACATGCCCTGGAAGGAGTCATTACCTTTTTTGAGAACTGCTATTCTAGAGGGACCATCTTTATTAAGAAGCAATGTAGTTCTTGGGGCACCTGGGTGGCTCAGTTGGTTAAGTGACCAACTCTTGGTTTCAGCTCAGGTCACGATCTTGTGGTTCATGAGATTGAGTTCCGCATCGGGCTCTGTGCTGGCGGCACCAAGCCTGCTTGGGATTCTCTCTCTCCCTCTCTCTCTACCTCCCACCCCCCGCCACTAGTGAGCGTGTGTACACACACTCTCTCTCTCTCTCAAAAATAAAGTAAAAAAAAAAAAAAGAATGACTCTTTGTCTTTGAGAGTACTCAAAGATGAGACATATTAAGCCTAGTGGAAGAGAGAACACAAAAGGGATGTTCAGCACAGTTTGAATCTTTCCCTGATGAATCCCAGTATCAAAATGCCCAAGCTCACTCACTATTCAGGGCTCAAGTCAAAAGGCAGAGCTACATCTCTGCAAGTAGCTGAGCAGAAAGGAGCTCTGCCTTGAAGCCACCTCTTCAGCCAGGCTCACAGTTTCTAAAGTTGAAATAGAAGGTAGACGTACGGGGCACTGGGTGGTGTCCAACTCTTGATTTCAGCTCAAGTCGTGATCTTGAGGTTCACGGGATCGGGCTGCACACTGACGCCTGCTTCGGATTCTCTCTTCTTCTCTCTCTGCCCCTCCCCCGCTCACGTGAGCACATGCAACGCATCCTCTCTCTCTCAAAATAAATAAACTTAAAAAAAAAAAAAGAAGGTAGACATATAAATTCAAACAATAACCTTTCCGCTACACACTGGACAAGGGCACTTGAGTCCATGTCTACAAAACGTAAAAACTACATCGCAAACAAAAAAGATAACAGTAACAGAACAAAGCCCTTACACCAAACCGACATAAGATCTGTTCAGAGAAAAGCTCTAACTCATCATTGCCTAAACCCACATCCTTCTCTGACAAAGTATTCAAGTCTGAACACTACTTTCGTGTTGTCACAGGTCTTAAACTGGCAGAACTTCCTTCTACTTCTGAATTTGTTCTCCAGAAACTAACAGTGTTTTGGTGAGGTCAGAAAAGAAAAGATACGGGGTATTTGCCCTTCTTTAGTGCTGAAACATAGAGAAGGAGAATTTTCTTAACCTCATTTTACACACAGAATGACTGAGGCACTGAAAGATGAGAAGGAATGTTCATTGGTGGGAGCTCCAATAAACTCCATAAACTCCAGATCTCTTCTTCCTGATCCAGCACTTTGGTCCCCACTCCGTAAGTCACAGATGCACATTACTAAAATGACAGACACATCCTGTTGAAGAATCAAACTCCACCCTCTTTCCGGTCTCCCTCTCATCTGAGCCTGACCCGGACCCACTGCGTTGCTGGGTCTGCTGTCAACTGCAGAGGAAGAATCTGGTCAGAAGGAGATGTATTTACACTCTCTTCTTGGGCACGTTCTTTATCTCTTTGAAATGATTATATTAAATGGATGTGGGGCTAAAGTTAGACCATATCTTCCAGTCAGGATGGGCTTCTTAGAATCCTTCGGTAAAGCAAATGTGAAACTCTGCATTAGGCTCACAAACATCAGAAATAATTCCATCTTTGCCAGCTGTTCTCCCATACACACGCGCTTCCCTAAAAATGAGATCAGAAAAGAAAGTTGACACTATAAATACCACCCTGTTTCCTATCTCAAGAAGGGCAATTGGCAATGGTATGTGAAATATCTCAATTAAGTGTTTTAAATGCAGATATAGAGAGTTTTAAAACAAAATGGTCATATATACCTCATGGCCTCCCAAAGTATATGCTGGTCCGAATTTCTACACACTAAGTTCACATTTTAACTCCTACTCATGAAAACTTATCCTCATTCTAGACAGGAACTAGAGACAGATCTAGGCAACCCTGTCTCCTCCATACCTTCTTATGGCTTTCCTTTGGTCTCAACTGGAAGATTAAAGAGAGAATGAGTCAGAAGACAATGTTTGGAGCATTCCTTTCTGTAGACAGAACCCTACATGTGCTCATACAGGTTTCTAAAAGAGGGACTGGTGAGATTAGCAAACCCAGCCTCTCAGCCACCAGCACAGCAAAAGGTCACAAGTTGCTCTTAACTCCAACAATTTCCTGGGACTCAAACAATCACTTGGGCAGCTCAGAAAGGAAGATTTCTAGTCATATCTCGGGATTTAAAACCAACTGCTTTCATTTTGTTTTTAAAATCTGAAATAAATGCAGGGGGCTGCATTTAATCTCAATTATTTACCTCTTCTCTTCTGTTTGCTTGTCAAGATGGAAATGTTTTTAAAACAGTTTTATCATGAAATAATAAAAGATTCTTTTAGTCTTCCCTCTTCAGTTATGTCATTTAGAAAATAAAAGTTTAACTGACCTATCCCAAAAGGAATAAATGTTTCTTTTTTAATAAGTTGTCCCTGATCATCCAGAAATCGATTAGGGTAGAAATCATCCGGTTTCTCCCAAATGGCTGGGTCTCTGTGTACTGACCACAAGTTGGGTAATATCATTGTGCCTTTAGGAATGGTATATCCTTGGAGCACTAAAACAAACAAAAAAACCAGTGTCATTCAACTAATAGTTCGCGGTAAACATCACTATCTGAAAAAAAAAAAAAATCCGGTCACATATCTAGCTAATTCATTTGTGGAGACTAAGCACTGAGGTACTTGAGGGTTGGGACAAGATGCTATCAACACCATCTCAGGACCCCAGCCTGAGACGAGGCACAGGAACTGCTTTAATAGACACAGAGTTAATGAATCAAATCAAACCATTAAAACATTATAATTAAGAGAAAACACTGAAACAGAAATCATAGGACATTCCAGGTAAACTTCCCAAAGAATTACAAATTCCTAACATAGTTGACCCTTGAGCCATGTGGGGGTTAGGGGCACTGAGCCCCTGCATAGGTAAAAATCTGCATATAACTTTTGATTCCCCAAAACTTAACTCCTAATAGCCTACTGTTGACTGAAGCCTTACCAATAACATAGGTGATTAACAAATATTTTTGTATTATTTACTGTATTTTTATAATAAATAAAGCTAGAAAAAAGAAAATGTTAGTAAAAAGTCACAAGAGAGGGGTGCCTGTCTGACTCAGTCAGTAGAGCATATGACTCTTGATCTCCGGGTTGTGACTTCGAATCTCACATTGGGTAGAGATATTACTTAAAAATAAAAGTCCTTTGGGGCGCCTGGGTGGCGCAGTCGGTTAAGCGTCCGACTTCAGCCAGGTCACGATCTCGCGGTCCGTGAGTTCGAGCCCCGCGTCAGGCTCTGGGCTGATGGCTCAGAGCCTGGAGCCTGTTTCCGATTCTGTGTCTCCCTCTCTCTCTGCCCCTCCCCCGTTCATGCTCTGTCTCTCTCTGTCCCAAAAATAAATAAACGTTGAAAAAAAAATTAAAAATAAAATAAAATAAAAGTCCTTAAAATAAAAAATTAAAAAATAAAAACTTTGCTTTAAAACAAAAATCATAAAATACATTTACAGTATTGCACTGTAAAAAATTGGCCTATAAAAGGACCCATGCAGTTCAAACCTCATGAGTCAACTGTATTTTATGGTAGTAAATGATAAAATAATGAGTATATATATATTTTTTATGCATTCAAGATATACCTAACTTTTTCTTAATTTCTTCCATATTTCTAGGCTATACAGTTCATTCATGAATTTTTTCAAACTACTGCAAAACTCTAAAACTTTTCCCAATACATTTATTGAGAAAAGTCCATGTGTAAGTGGACCCACTGTAGTTCAAATCCATGTTGTCCAAGGGTCAACTGTACAGGGAAGTCAACACTGCTTTTACCACTGACAAGTTCATGTGCACCTTCAACAACACCCAAGATACTGCACACACAGTGCATCTAACTAGCACAAGAAAAACCATGAAGTGATCCAATGTCATTTATAAGTTCTTGCCTCTTACAACTGTCTTATAACCATAGTTAAGCTCATTACATCATGGGCTATCTTCAGAGGAGGGAAGTTCCTTGCTCTAAGGAATTTTACATAAAGTCTGAGTGCTTACATGTCAAAGACATGACCACAAATGGACACATTTCAATGTAGATGTGAAGTTGACACAGGTGCCTTTAGAATCAGATGGGCTCTTCTAATTCTTTAATATTTATGCTTCAGTTGTAGAACTCTAAGAGGTAAGGTAGGATAATTCCCAGTTAAAATGCTTAATTTCATTTTAGGCTAGCTCTTCTGACCTCCAAGAAGACTGAGAGGTAGGTGCCTTTGTTAATTCTGGAGTTTTTTCTGCCAATACAGCCATCTTAAATGGCAGCGTAATTTGTCTGACAATGTAAGTGTGCATGCTCTGAAGTCTAGAGAGCTATTTATAAAACAAGCTGTGCTGGAATACCAGGATGTGAAAAATGGTCAACTGAGGGCTGAAGTATCCACTGGACATTTAATTATCCACAATACAACGTTACACCCTCAGGAGAATCAAGCTGGGCAATGGTCATCACGCCCTCACCTAAAATTCTTTGGACTGGAAGGCTGGGATTCCCTCAAGGGCATTCAAAGGAGAAAGACACTGGACTTGCCTGTTTTCTCTGAGGTCATATGAGGAATGGCAAGTGGCACCACCACAGTCAGCCTCTGCACCTCCATGATGGTGGCTTCTGTGTAGGGCATCTGGGCCTTGTCAGTGAGGGAAGGGACTCTGTCAGCACCAATGACCCTTTCAATTTCTTCCTGAACCTTTTCTATTAAAAAGAATTAAAAAAGGAAAGAATAACAAAGAATAAACCATAAGATAAGCTAGAAGAGTTGAGACTGCCTTCTTATGCATACTTCCCATATGTGTGTCATACACACAAGCAATAAGTTGGCAGTTTGGACCTGACTCAGCCTCAGAGCATAAAGCATTGGTCATATATTCCAGGTAGAGGCAGTTAGTCCCAGGGACCCTGTACCACCCTGTGACTTTGAAGGATAGCAGAACAGATAGAAGGGTAAAGGAGAAAGCATTCTGGATTCAGGAGTACTCTCAATCATTCTTTCATATGGACACTTGTTTTGACTCTCTAAGCTTGTATGTGACAACGTGAGTTATCCCAACAGGGCCCCCAGTGATCCCTGCCCCTTGGTGTTCACGTCCTTGTACAGTCCCCCTCCACTCTGTACTAAGTTGATCTGTGTGACCAACAGAGTAAAGGAGAAGTGACACCATGTCAGTTCTGAGCTTAGGTTATAAAAAACACTGTGGCTCCTGTCTTGATACTTGTTCTCTCTTGGGTCACTCATTCTGGGGGAAGGCAGCTGCCAAGTCAAGCAGCCTTGTGGAAAAGTCCAAGCGGTGAGGCCTGCAGCCAATAGTCAAGTGCATGAGTCATCTTGGAAGTGGATCCTTCAGTCTCAGTCAATCTTGCAGATGACTGCAGCTTCAGCCAACATCTTGACTATAACTTCATGAGGAATCCTAAACCAGCCAGGCTAAGCTGCTCCTGGATTCCTGATCCTCAGAAACTATGTAAGATCGTAAAATGGTGGTTGTTTTTAGATGCTAAATGTTGGGATAATTTGTTAGTCAATAGTGAACAATAATGCAGAAGGCATAATCTCATTTATAGTACACAAAAAATGGCCCCTCAAAGATGTCCACACCCTAACCCCCTGGAACCTATGAATATGCTCCTTTATGTGGCAAAAAAGACCTCACAGCTGTGATCAGATTAAGGGCCTTGAGTAGGGAGGATTACCCTGGATTTTCTGGGTGTGCACTAATTACTTGGGTTTTAAAATTGGAGAACTTTCCCCAGTTGAGTTTAACGTTAGAGGGAGATGTGACTAAAAGAAAATGATCACAGTGCTTCAACATCGCTGGGTCTGACGATGGACAAGCGGGGCCAGGAGCCAAGGCAGCTGGAAATGGATTCTCCTCTAGAGTCTTCAGAAAGGAAGGCAGCCTTGCCAACATCTTCATTTTAGCCCAAAGAGACCCAGAAGTTTAAGATAACAAACTTGTGTTGATTTAAGTCACTAAGTTTGTGGTTATTTGTTATAGAAGCAGTAGAAAAGTAATATATACTGTCCTCTTTTGTATTCTTCCATTATGAACTGCCAGACACTCTGTGAAAGTCACAGAACTTCTCTGGGTCTTCGTTCTCCAGTTTCAAAACAAGATGACTGGGTTCAGACAATCATTATGATTCCCTTCAGCTCTAAATTGTCCTTCTTCTCTAAAATTCTTCCTCTCTTGGGGGCACCTGGGTGGCGCAGTCAGTTAAGCGTCCGACTTCAGCCAGGTCACGATCTCGCGGTCCGGGAGTTCGAGCCCCGCGTCGGGCTCTGGGCTGATGGCTCAGAGCCTGGAGCCTGTTTCCGATTCTGTGTCTCCCTCTCTCTCTGCCCCTCCCCCGTTCATGCTCTGTCTCTCTCTGTCCCAAAAATAAATAAACGATGAAAAAAAAATTAAAAATAAAAAAATAAAAAATATATAAAATTCTTCCTCTCTATAGATTTCACACAGAATCAGACCTGTAGAGATTTAAAGCAGGGGCAAGCAAGTATGACATTAGTCCCACTGGGAGTTTTTCTGTTAATACCTTACCAACTCCCTATGAGGTTCAAGGATTTCCATTTTGTTTCCCAGCCTGAAGACATTGCTTAGAGCTAGAAGCTACAGCATCACCAAAGTTGCTGATACTGATTTAAATAGTCTGGCTTTGGGGAGCCTGGGTGGCTCAGTCAGTTAAGCATCCGACTTTGGCTCAGGTCATGATCTCTTGGGTCATGAGTTTGAGCCCCGTGTCAGGTTCCCTGCTGACAGCTCAGAGCCTGGAGCCCGCTTCGGGTTCTCTCTTCCTCTCTCTCTGCCCCTCCTCTGCTCCCTCTCTGTCTCTCAAAAATAAACAAACATGAAAAAAAAAATTAAATAGCCTGGCTTTGCCTGAATAAAGGAGACATCTGTTAATTACCTTGTATGTCGGGGTTCAGTGACATATAAAGAAGGCACCAAAGCAAGGAGTTAGTTGTGGTATCAGTTCCAGCAATGAAGAGATCCCCAATGATATAAAATAAATAATCTTCATTAAAGCTACTATTGCTATTATTTTTTCTCTCCTCGTCCACGTGGAGAAGGTACATGTCTATGAAATCCTGAGGATTCTCCACATCCAGAGACTCTCGATGGTCTTTGATGATTTTTTTAAGGAAAGTGGTAATATCCTTTTCAATCTGTCTTAATTCTTTAAATGGTCCAAAGGGAAGATAATAAAGCCAGGAGCATATGTTGACCAGGAGGAGCTGGGTGTTGAGACAGATTTCTAACGCTCGTGACATAAGATTGAGCATTTTCTTAAACTCACTATTGGTATAATCAAAACGCTGGCCAAAGCACAGGGAGCAAATGATGTTAGAGACAGCATTGTTGAGAATGGGGAAAGGGTTGAAGGGGACTTCTCCATGCTTCTGCATTTCCTCTTTTATATATTTAAACTCCTCAATAATCTTGGGTTCCAAGCTAAGTTTTCCCAAGCCAAAATGACGAAGAGTTGAATGAGAGAACTTCCTCTGTTGTCTCCAGACTGGACCATAATGTGCAAATACAATCCCTGCAAAAGGACACCAAGAAAAGGTAAGAAAGAGCGATGCCTGATAACACTTAAAAGGACTTACAATGAAGTGTGTCTTGTATTTGTCAAGTCACGTGTGCAAAGTTCATCTACATACAGGTAGAGATCACCAGCCGAGAAGAATGATTAGCGAAATTATCAAGATAGCATATGTTTCTAATAATAAAAATCCTATACAATATAGCTTATAGATAGGAACCCCCAGTGAAATGAAAAGCAATGAATTTCAATTTTTAGAGTTAGTGTACATTTCTTTTTATTTATTTTAGTCTTAAATTTTTTTTTAATTTATTTAAATTCAAGTTAGTTAACATATAGTGTAGTATTGGTTTCAGGAGTAGAACTGAGTGATTTATCACTTACATACAACACCAGTGCTCATCCCAGTAAGTGCCCTCCTTAATGGCCATCACCTACCCCCCCCAGCAGTTTGTTCTACGTATTTTATTTATTCATTCATTATTATTTAATTTACATCCAAGTTAGTTAACATATAGTGTGATAATTATTTCAGGAATAGAATTTAGTGATTCACCACTTACATGTAACACCCAGTGCTCATCTCAACAAATGTCCCTCTTAATGCCCCTTTGCCCATTTAGCCCATCCCCCCACCCCAAATCCCTCCAGCACTCCTCGGTTTTGTTTTCTGTATTTAAGAGTCTCTTATGGTTTGTCTCCCTCCCTGTTTTTAACTTATTTTTGCTTCCCTTCCTTTTTTTTTTTTTTTTTTAATTTTTTTTTCAACTTTTATTTATTTTGGGGACAGAGAGAGACAGAGCATGAATGGGGGAGGGGCAGAGAGAGAGGGAGACACAGAATCGGAAACAGGCTCCAGGCTCTGAGCCATCAGCCCAGAGCCCGACGCGGGGCTCGAACTCCCGGACCGCGAGATCGTGACCTGGCTGAAGTCGGACGCCCAACCGACTGCGCCACCCAGGCGCCCCGCTTCCCTTCCTTTATGTTCATCTGTCTTGTATCTTAAATTCCACATATGAGTGAAGTCCTATGGTATTTGTTTTTCTCTGACTTATTTCGCTTAGCATAATACCTTCTAGTTCCATCCACATTGCTGCAAATGGCAAGATTTCATTCTTTTTGATCACTTAGTAATATTCCATTGTATACATAAACCACATCTTTTTTTATCCATTCATCAGTCGATGGACATCTGGGCTCTTTCCATACTTTGCTATTGTCAATAGCACCACTATAAACATTGGGGTGCATGTGCCCCTTCGAATCAGCACTCCTGTATCCTTTAGATAAATACCTAGTAGTGCAATTCTTGGGTCACAGGGTAGTTCTATTTTTAATATTTTGAGGAACCTCCATACTGTTTTCCAGAGTGGCTGCACCAGTTTGCATTCTTATCAGCAGTGCAAAAGGGTTCCTCTTTCTTTAGTGTAAATTTCTGAATCTTATGTTTCATAAGAGTAAATCCAGGCTTAAAAAATATTTCAGGCTGGGGGCGTCTGGGTGGCTTAGTCGGTTAAGCATCTGGCTCAGGTCATGATCTTGTAGTTTGTGGGCTCAATCCCTGCATGGGGCTCTGTGCCGACAGCTCAGGGCCTGGAGCCTGCTTCAGATTCTGTCTCCCCCACTTGTACCCTGTCTGTCTCTCTCAAAACTAAACAAATATTAAAAAAAAAAAAATTCAGGCTGGACATACCCATATTCTAAAGATTCTGAATAGAAGGAGGCAGGGACAATACCTGATTGTGCTGACTATTAAAATCCCAGCATCTGGCATCATTCTGAGTATACAGGAGGAGCTTGTCAAATATTAGCCAAATAAATCAACAGTCCCACTGGACTATAACACTCACCATCAGTTTGGAACTGAATAGCTGGCGGGTAATCTAAAATGTCTGTTGTCAGCAACAGCCCTAATTTAAGAACATCTGAACTCAAAAGTCGTCCACAACTATACCTCATTTGATTCTCACTTATGTTATACATCTCCCACCATCAAACCCAACAGAATTGTTCCCAGATGTATCAATTTGTTTTCAAATATTCCTTATTTCCTGTCACCTCTTTCACCCTTTTATTTTCCATGGTGCCCTTTATTGTTCCAGCTGGTTCTCCTTCTTTGCCATTTTTAATCTACTTCATTTCTGCTATCTTTGAGTATCACTTATTTAACAAATATTTCTGAATATTGAGTCAGTGCCAGGGACCGGGATGCTGTGAATCCAGCTGAGGATGAAATACAGACCTTTCTCTGTGGTTAAATCTTATCACAATATTTAATACCTTTACAAAATGCCTCTCAATGTAAACATCTGTGTGGTCAAATGAATCAGGCGATTTATCAGCTCTGCTTTTATCCTTGGACTCTGCCACACATCTGCTCAAATCTGCTGCTTCTAGGCCTTCTATTCAGATGTGTGACGACCTCTGTGGGGCATCATTAAGGAATTATTTTAGATTCTCCTGTGCTGAACCCATTTCCAGGATTCTACTTCTTCCTCTTTCTTGTTTCCTTCCCTTCTTTTGCTAAAGCAAAAATGCATGGGCAGCAAATTTCGAAAGATTTTTTTAGAAAATGTGTTTATTCTACCTTTCCTACTTCCTCAGAATTTTGAAGACATTGCTAAGAGTGGTTTGGTAAGTCATCAAACACGTACTTTGTCAATATGACTAGACTTGCCAAATTACTCTCCAAAGTGCTTAGAGCACATTGTCTTAATTACTGTTACTTTATAAGACAGAAATAGACTTCACAGTGAGTCTTAACACCTAATAGGGAAGTCCCCTCTCCTTATTCTCTTTCAACATTGCTTTTTAAATTATTCTTGGCTCTTCACTCTTTTATAAAATTTTAGAGTCAGCTTGTCAAACTCTATTAAAAAAAACTTTGAGGTTTTCATTGGAATTGCATTTAATTTATAGATTTGAAACTGTCTTCCTTCTGATAATTGAAACTGCTTGCAATAAAAAATAAATCCAATTTTGGTTAAATAGTGTTTTTATGTTTTTTTTTTAATCGATGGATTTGGTTTCTTGTATGTTTTCTTAAATTCATATTCATAAATGAAATGGCCAATAAATTTCTTTTTTCTCATAATGTACTTGTCTGGATTATACTGGCCTTCTAAACTAATCCAGGGTATATTGTTTCTCTCTGGAAGAATTTGTGTAAAATTATGTTCCTTCTTTTTTCTTTTGAGTTTATGCTTTTATTCTTTTCCAGATACATAAAGTTGGCCATCTAACTTATTACTTTTCAGACTTTTATCCTAATACATAACTTAGGGAGCTACATTTGCCTCTGGGTACCGCATTAGCTGCAGTCCAGAAGTACTGTTTGCAAGTATTTTCATTATAATCTTAAGTTAAAATTTTTTTCTATTATGATTTTTTGCCACCTAAATTAATTTGTCTTCTACTGAGTTTTGGCGTTAATGAGGCTTGCTTTTTAGCCTAGTATGTGATCGATTTTAATACAATTTCCAATAAAATTCAGAGAATTTTTATAGACTCAATTGTGGGGTACAGGGTTCTCTATATGTCCAATACAAAAAACCTGATAACCATTGGAATCAAATGGTATATTTGTACAAAGGTACAAAATCAAATTTTGTATCCTTAGCAAATTTGATCTTCCTGCTCTCTGTTATTCAAATGCTTATGTTAAAATATTTTGCTATAATGGTACATTTATTGATTTCTCTTTGCAGTTCTGTAAGTTTTGCTATAGAATTTTGCAATGTAGCTGCTTATATCTGTTAACTTATCTTTGCTGTCAGATACCTATATATGCTAGAGAACACTGTTAGGTATATGCAAGTTCCAAATTATTATATCTTCCTCTTCCTGTTCTCATCATATAATTCACTAATTCTTAATAATAAAGTTTGACTTAAAGTATATATTGTCAAAAAGACATCAGCTTTTCTTTTAAAAATATTTTTTTAATGTTTATTTATTTTTGAGAGACAGAGTGAGTGGGGGAGGGGCAGAGAGAGAGGGAGACACAGAATCTGAAGCAGGCTCCAAGCTCTTAACTGTCAGCACAGAGCCCGAGGTGGGGCTCGAACTCACGAACCTCAAGATCATGACCTGAGCTGAAGTCAGATGCTTAACCAACTGAGCCACCCAGGTATCTCAACAGCTTTTCTTTTTAAAGTATTATCTTGGTATAACATTTTCCTTTCTTTCACTTTGAATTTTAACGTACACTTATGTTTGGGGTATTTCTCTTTTTGGAGGGAGGGTATGTCTCTTTTAAAATGACATACATTTGGGGACACCTGGGTGGCTCAGTCCGCTGAGCGTCCAACTTCAGCTCAGGTCATGATCTTGCAGTTCATGAGTTCAAGCCCCACGTTGGGCTCTTTGCTGACAGCTCAGAGCCTGGAGCTTTGGATTCTGTGTCTCCCTCTCTCTCTGCCCCTTTCCTGCTCATATTCTGTCTCTCAAAAATGAATAACTGTTAAAAAAAATTAAAATAACATACATTTGAATTTTTAAAAAATCCATTCTAGCAATCTATCCTTTAGCCAATTTAGTTCATTTATATTTAATATAATTATGAATTTATTTCTAATACATTATTTTGAACTTTACCTGGCTGTATCTATTCTTTTTTCTCCTTCCTTTCTTGCCTTCTTTTGCATTAGAGAAACAAAGTGAATACTCACCCTTAAATTTTTAACACAGTTACTTAAAGTCCAGAATAATGATCAGCAAGCTTTAGCCCACAGGTCAAATCCAGCCTGCTGTCTCTTTTTATATGGCCAGTCAGCAAAGATGAATTTTTGCATTTTTAAATGGTTGGGGAAAAAATCAAAACACCATTTCATGATATATGAAAAAATATGAAATTCAAATTTCAGGGTTTATAAATAAAGGCTACTAGAACACAGGAGTTAATGAGCCACTATAATTCATTCACATATAGTCCATGGCTGCTTTTGTACTAAAATGGCAGGGTACTTGCAACAGGGATTGGAAGTAGCAGAGAACACTTT